TCCTGCGTGCTTTACAACAGAACAGAGCACAGTCGAGGCTTCTTTATTTGTTAATCAAAGAGAAACAATAAAATATGCAGCATTTTTCTTTTCTCTTTTAGTGTCTGAATATTATGTCAACTGCTGAGACCGTAATTTGCTTTCATGAACACAGATGGAAATCATCTACTTACTGACGTGATCATTAATACTTAATATTGCACTTTTAATTTAATAGTTGTTATGACGGTACTTTTGTTCCTTTCTGTTTGTATGGAATTTAAGAGTTAAACGCTTATGAGGAAGTTTGGTTAAAATGACGCAAGCGGAATTGCATCGCCTACAAAGGAGGAGCGATTGAGAAATTACATTTTTGTGTCTGTTTATTTTCGTTTTGTCCAGTCATTTAATTTCACTCCGCAAAAATCTAATTCCCTTGACCTGAACTTGATCTAATCACCATATGAAAAAAAGTTTTTCAAGCTTATCAGTGGGGAGTTGGCAAAGTCATGATAAGATTTCTCGTTCTTAATCCGGCTTCATTCAGCTTTATAATCCGATGCCTGTGTGTAGACACCTCAGTCCTATTCCCACGGTATATTTACTAAAATAGTACAACTTTCGAGCGAAAGGAAAGACGTGACTTCCTGAAATCTACCAAATATGAAATCAATGACGTCACACAAGACCGACCGAGCTCTTTCGCTCAGACGTCATGCGAATAGTCACAATTGCACATTATTAAGGCTGTTTTCCGGAAAGATTTAATTCGTTTATCAATTCTTGCCATACTATCAATGCCATATTATCAATACGCAGCCACTGGTTCACAAGTCACAGAAGGTTTTGACGTCTTTGTAGCTTTTAGCTGAAGTTAACGACCGTCAAAAAAAACCCGTTAGACGACACAGAAAGGAGGTGAGCTCAGCGGATAAGTTTTTACGGTATTTAAGAAGAAAAATAGAAGCCAGATGTACATGTTGGGCACTGTATAAATGGGAGCGAGTGCTTGGTGATCTCAAACTTGAAGGCGTATCATATGAAAAAAATAAAAATTTAAGGCGTATCATATGAAAAAAAGTACAAAAACAATCAATGGAAAATTGGATAGCCGATGATGAAGTGTTAAACATGGCAAATGCTTCAAGTGGTAACTATTCGCACAATTTTACGCCAGCTTCACTTGAACCACAAGACGTTTGGTATTGGATCGTCAAAGCAATCATCGCCATTTTATCCATCGTAGGAAATGGACTTGTCATCTACTTCATCATTTTCAAACGACGCCTGCGTGCCACCAATAACTGGTTCGTGTTATCCTTGGCAGTAGCAGACTTAAGCATCGGTTTGTTCACAACACTGAGTGGTTTCCTGTGCACGTTTCATTTTCGGTGCGACTGGAGGATGCAGATTACATTTTACAACTTTCTGCTTTTCGCCTCCACGTTGAACCTGTGGGCGATGGCAATTGATCGATACATTGGGATTGTACACTCTTTACGGTATACATCACTCATGACAACCACACGAGTCGTAACAATGGTAAGCCTGTCTTGGTTCATTTCATTTCTTGCTGCATTTGTGCGCCTGCTGTGGTCGTATGACATCCGGCTTCCAAGTGTATCAATCGATAGGTACTATCGCGTAGTCATTGATATTTTTTTCGGTGTTTTCTCGTGTGTGGTGTTACTAATTATTTATGCCCGAATTTTGTACATTTCTCGTAAAATTGCCAGACAGTCAGCTGCACAACTGGGCCAAGTGATTTACAATCACGAAACAACTGTCTCAAAGGCACGACGAAATTCATCCGCGAGAGTCCTTGGGTCGGTGGTTTTGTTGTTCCTACTATGTTACAGTCTTAGTATCTATATTTCATTTCGCCTGAATTTTAGAATTTGTTGTGTAAATCGCCTTCTCGTTACAATATCCATGTTAATGGTGTACCTTAATTCTGCCGTTAATTTTGTGGTGTATGCGTTCATGAAAAGAGATATTCACCGAGAACTGACGCGTCTGTGGCGTTCTAGCAATCCTACCCATCTGACTGTTTCTCGGGAATTATCTTTGGCCTGAACTGGAATAAACCTCGCATAAGAGGCTGATGTAGGGATGACTGTGGTTGTTTAAGTAATTATTGTGCCAAAGCTTTTCACCTTAGTATTGTTAATCAATAAAGCTCAATAAAACACTTTTTTTTGTAACGTTTGAATTGATGTGTACTGAATTGAGCTACATAACTGATCAGAAATAAGAGGGAGAAATTTGACGTCGCATTAGGGGCAAAAATCACTGAGAAATGCTAGAGGCCACAGAATGGGGAAAAATCACGTACAGCTTTGTTGTAGTTGTTGTTAGTAACTATATTGTGTGGCTTCCTCGTTGAAAACAACGTATAGTTAATTCGACACGTTTTCTTTGCCAAGGTCATGTTACTCGGTTAAGAGGGTATTTAATATTGGCCTTTTCATGGTTAGCGTTTGGAACTGGAAAATATAAATCGAATTCGTCGTGTGAAATCAAATCGAAAGTTAATGAACTTTGGTATAATTTAAATCAAAATTAAGAGACTGACTGTTTGCCATACTTCTCGCCGGCGTGTTTATTGAGGGCGACTTCAGACAGGTTATTTCGTGACGTGACGCGATGTTTACTACGAAGTTCTAAAAACGTATTAAGTGATCAATACGAGGGAGAGAATTTAGGACATCCCAAAAAGGCACTAAAATATTTGACACACATATTTTCTTAAAACTGGAAAAACAGAACAAAAACGATCATCACATTCCAAATGACAGAATCTTAGCTCATTCGACTGCATCCTTGTTTTCATTGATTTCGTGTGACAAGTTTGTGAATTCCCGAAAACCCTTAATATCTGTGAATATTTAACAGCAGTGAAAACAAGGACATTTTCTTCAGTGAGAGTTTGAGGTTTGTTATAAGCCAAGTTACATTTGACTCGACGGCGTGTTTCCCGTTTCTCTTCAGTGTGGTAATATAAGATAAATACCTAAAGGGAACATTGAAAAACTCGATCGTTTTGGCCTGATCCATCCCCTTTATATATAACATAAAGTATAAGTTTCATCAGTTTCATCAGTTTTTTATAAGTTCATCATTTATATGAAAAAGAACAGGATCTCGCACAAAACCGAAGCATGGTCGGGGGGGGGGGGGAGACTCCCATTGCAAGGGGTGGGATGGTCGCGCTACTCCCATATTGTTTTCAGGTTTTTTCAACTGAAAGAGAGCAATATGGGAGTGACTTGAGCTACATTAGACCTTAAATTGTTTATGTCTGCTTTCATCTGCGAGAGAAGTGATAAGATTCCTATTTCTTTGCGTGCAACCCTTAAAAGATAACTTTATAACCTTCTAAACCTGATTGACGTAACGAGCTAGTTATCGGACATCAAAATCGTAAATTTACGCCCCTGAAACACAAGAATTCATTTATCGTTTACCTGCAAAATCTCGCAATTTGAGAAGTATTCCCTGCGTCTGTCCTGGCTCAAAAACTAGCAGCTCTAGTTGTATATGAAAAAATCCTGTTCACTCATTCTCTGGTAGAAATGTAAAAAATCGCCCTACTTGTTTCACGTTCTCTGGAAATACTCAGAATTGGGAGGACAGCTAAGAATTGTGCCATGATTTTTACCACGAGTGCAGTGCTGTGGAGGTGATTCATCCCTATGAAATGACCTTGATAGTATCATTATGATGGGTTAAGTGGTAGGTTGAGTAAATGTCATGTAAACAAAAAAGGTTTTTACAACATCCAATGGGAAGCTGACACATTCATGCAACGAGCGATCGAAGTTTTTGGTGGCTGTTTTCATCTAACTTTTTGTCAGTACTTTTTCAGGCCTATCACTGTCATTCCAACTGATTAAAGTGCTGGCTAATGTTGTTTTCCTTTCTCCGTTGAGCTCCCCGCGTCATGTTTTACCCACTCGATGGCAATATTTCGTCCGTACCTTTCTCGAGTTGAAGTGGCGTCAGTGAAAGACAATACGTATTGATTCAGCTAGGCCATCACTATTTATTGAATTAGCATGAAAACTATATTTCAAGTTATTGATACAGCTATACTACATACATATTGGCATTATCAAATTTCTGTGATTTAATTTTCTTTTGTAGACATAAAAAGCCTGTGATTTCTCTCAGTAAAGATTCGACGATAATTACATGACAATCGATAAACCTGGCTATTTCAGATGGAGAAAAGTCATAAGTGTAGGTAGCTTTGTAATTTAAAATGGCTTTGATGTTAGTTCGCGGAGTGAATGGGCTAGGAACGCATGCCAAAAAAAAAAAAAACTGGTGACCGAGACGACAAAAAAAAATTGTGTCAGACGTGAATGAGTGGGTAGAGTTGTAATGAAAACAGAAATAAGTGAAATAGGGACTCAGTGTCAATCAAAAGGGCATTACGAGATTTCATATTTGTTTAGAAGTTTCTAAAATTTATCTTCGTTCTCAACACCGTTTTTGTTGAGGAAAAATTCTTATAATTCCAAAAAAATGGCCATTGAAATATTTTACACCCTTTTGAGACATTTTTGGAAACCAAGTAAAAATCGATGTTATTGTTGCGCAGTTGTAAAATTTGCTTTAGCTAACGTGTTCCCCTTTTGGATATTATTCCAGTGGCGACTAATGTCTGTTATGGCTGAGAAATGTCATTCACAAACAAATATTTATTGTACATTTAAATTAAAGAAACTGTCTGTATGGCATTGTTTCTGTGTTTGTTCAGTTCGAATCAGCAGATAGGGACGAAAGTGTTGTAAGAACTGGACCGAGCTAACAAAGTGAAAAAAATAGGTCGGAGATAAACCTGTCCAACCCCGAACGCCTGCTACGCAGGCCAGAGAAATAGCAACGGGATTATTTCTGAATCGATAGGAAAAGTCACCGATATGCCAAACATTACAGGTACTACACGCAGTTCTTCGGCTGTTTCACTTGAACCAATAGACATTTGGTACTGGACCATCAGAGGAATCATCGCCGTTTTAACAATCGCGGGAAATGGCCTCGTCATCTACTTCATCGTTTTCAAACGGCGCCTGCGTGCCACCAATAACTGGTTCGTGTTATCCTTGGCAGTCGCGGACTTTTGCATCGGTTTGTTCGCAACACCGAGTGGACTCGCTTGCGCGTTTCGGTTTCTGTGTGATTGGCGGATTCAGATTACGTTTTACAATTTTCTTCTCTTCGCTTCGACTTTGAACCTGTGGGCGATGGCAATAGACAGATATGTCGCCATTGTACATTCTCTGCGATATCCATCACTCATGACAACTACACGAGTCATTTTAATAATAGCCATGTCCTGGGCCATCTCATTTCTTGCTACATTTGTTCGCCTACTTTGGCTGTATGACAGCCACCTTAGAGGAGTGATCGAGAAATATTATATTGTCATCATTGATATTTTTTTCGGTGTTTTCTCATGTGTGGTGTTACTGACTGTTTATGCCCGCATTCTGTGTATTTCTCGAAAAATTAGCAGACAGTCAGCTGCACAGGTGAATCAGGTCATTTACAATCACGCACCGTCTGTCTCAGCGAGACGAGCACGGAGAAATTCCTCTGCAAAGGTTCTTGGATGTATGGTTTTATTGTTTGTAGTCTGTTACAGCCTTGGTATCTATATTTCGTTTTGCACAAATTTTAAGCTTTGCCCTGTAAATCCACTTGTCGCTTCCCTCTCTTTGCTGCTAGTACACTGTAATTCTGCTGTCAACTTTGCTGTGTATGCATTCATGAAAAGTGATATTCGGATGGAACTGATGCGCCTTTGTCGATTTGGCAAGGCTAGGGAACTTAGTACGGCATCGCGAGAATTCTCTTTATCCTAGCTAGAAATTTAATTTGATCCCTACTATATTATTCACTGTACATATGGACACCGGTACCCTGTCTCCCTCAAAACAAACATGCTCCATTATTGTATTGGTCTTTTTCTCACGTTCCTGTATGCTCCGAAATATCCTTCATTATTTTGGAGAACGTCGGTTAGTTTTAAAATAAATCAATATTCTTCCATATTCTAAGGCATAATGTTTTATATACATTCTGACCAAATGACCAGGCAAGCCAAAATAATCACATCTATTCGCATAAACTATATTAACCTAGATGTCAAATAATGAGTGTAAATAAAGCGACTGTCATCAACAAACGTCGACAGGGATGATAAAATATTGGTTTGTCATTGAATATGCCTTATAAAACTCTTGATTGTATTGCATGATATGGAATGGATTCTAAGGCAGAATCCTGTGGAAACGTGTGGAAAGGTGAAGAAATCATTGTCAGAAGTTCAAAGAAAAGCAGCCCCCTCCTGTGCAAGGTATCAGATTCTTTCAAGAGCTTTGTGGGTGGCTCAAATTTAGACAATTTACTGTCACTCTCTGAAGAGATAGAGAAAATTAAAGCGGAAAAAAAAGTATATGTATAAAATTAATTTTCTGACATGAAGGTTCTGTCATACTTTTTTTCCGGGGTTTTCCGGGTGACCAAAGCGACAAATGCTTACCTCTATACAGAAGAACGACCCGCTCTCAGCCTTTTACGTAGGGATGTACCGAGGCTTCCTCTTACGACTGATTCACTTAACAAAAAGTTCAGACTGTGTCTTGAAGAAAGGATAAGCTGAAAAATCATGATCAATTCTGTGTACATTAGTTTTCCATTTTTAAACCAACAAATACTCCATTTATCTCTCGTAATTTCTCATCAATCTATCTCTGTCAATGTATTCATGGCAAAAATCTAGTTCTTAAGTTTATTCTGATTCATTACATACACTGACCACTGTAAGTGTTAAGCAAGCGAGCTAGATAAAAACGACGCCTATCGATCAAGTTTAGATTAATTTTTGTTGGTTACCCAAATTCATAAGATGTTTCACTGAAACGTGGAAATAACCGAACTTATTGGATACAGATTTCTGACGCGTTGTTAAGAAAACATGCCAACTCGTTCTGACAAAAACCCAAACCGTCGTTGGCGAGTTTTGCACAGACTGTGTAGACTAACTACAGTTTCAAGGGAATTAAAAAAGAAAAAACAATTTAGAACTCTTTTGCAAAATGCGTACGCAGTCATGTCACTCACAACTTTCTCCAGACATTATCTAAGGGGTGGACCATTTGATTTTGAGCGGGGGAATGAGGGTGAGTAAAATTTTATGAGACACGAATTCTTTTTTAAACCCTTTTTTGCACAAAGGATTCTTTTTCTCGGACGTGCGTATTCACAATATTTTTCTCTGGATTATTGTGGTGCTGCAGTTACCATGGATGTGGTAAAGGGAATGAAGAAGGTCTGGAATGCCTACAAAGACGAGGTGGTAGAATAGTCTTGAATACTGCCCATTTGTCCACCGAACAGATGGTTACAAGTTGGGACACTCTTACGAGAAGAAGAGAAAAACACATTGTTAAACTGGTTGGAAAGTGCCTCAAGGGAACGGCCGTAAGTTAACTCTCCAAATATTTTCAACTTAAAAGACATAATATTCATGATTATGAAATTAGGAATAAGAACAAATTTAGTTATTGATAGGGTTAAATTAGAATCGACTCGAGGGGCAGATATTTTCAATAATTGTATATGAATCTAGTTCCAGTCTTTCTATCTCTTTTTATATGAATATTTTTAGATTTCTTATATAGCTTTTCATATTTTTGCATACTTTATATTTTGCTTTATTAGTTATTCATTTATTTATTTTACGCAGGTCCCATGTTGATAGCAGTTTTTATAATTAACTGAAATGGTCATCCTGTATATATATGTTTGAGAGAGAGTTATTATTATTATTATTATTATTATTATTATTATTATTATTATTATTATTAAACGCTAACCGGGTGTGTGTCCACTAATTTTAGAAAGTCGATGATGGCATGAACTTGTGAATTAGTATTTTAGGATCTCATGATATTTTTATTTTCCTCAATTTTTCTTCTTCTTCTTTTTCGTTTTCTTGTCCTTGTTCTTCTTGTTCTTCTTGTTCTTGTTGTGCTTCTTGAAACATACTAGCAAAAGTATGGCTCGGTGACATAACAACACAAGTTGACTAGG